GGGACGGCCGTCTGACGATGTCACGTCATGATAACTTTTTAGCCTCCTGAAAACGCTTAATGATGCTCACCCAGTCTTAGACGTTTACGGTCTACTGTCCCTATTAATGGTGTTGTCCACTGTCCTGGCGTAGCAATACACAACTATGACTACCGAGCCAAATATTTAAGAAGAGCTGGCAGGTCTAATCGAAACCTGGTCGATCTCATTATAAGTAGAGTAGAACGATTTTCCACTCTGATATGATTTCTACGGTGGCAAGTTGCATCAGCACTGCAGGTTCCACCAATTGAAATAAGCAGTGAAATGATTAAGTGATCCCATCCCAATAAGAGAGAGGTGTAATATGCAGTTATAGCTCATCCTGGAGGAGCTATGCGCCTACTAAAGCAACCTAGAGTAAATTTTACACTGTAATATAGCCACAACCCCTGGAAAAGTTTTTTCTACTAGAAGACTAAATTTAACTAGAAGTTGGCGAATAAAAGAAAGTTGGAGTTAGAACCTTCTTGTCTAGAACTGACCAATGGAAGGATTTGGCTTTTCTGAACAAACATTTCAGTACCCCAAATGAAATTACTGCTATGACTATCACAAAATAGTACAGGGGCACTGAAATCTTTAAAAGAACACACCTCTCCCATGGTTGGTTCGTCCGCCTTGTAAGCGTCCAGTTTCTGCTGCACAAGGTGTGCCAGCTCTACGTTGCGCTCGAAATAACTGCGATAACGCACACTAGGGTATTCGCCGAGAGTAGCACAAACAGTAGCGATCTGCTCCGCGATCCGCTCCATATTCGCCGTCAGACCACCTTGTTTCTGAGGATTATAGAAAAGCTGGAATGTTTCTGGACTATCCAGTGAAAATACCTGAAAACATCAATTAGATTTAATTAACATCAGGCGTCACTGCGTTCATGCTCAGAAAGATATCAAATTCAACTAAAGTTTTGAACAAACTTCCATCGAAACACATACCTGGCCTTCATAAGGAGTAAAGGCAATATTGATTTCTTTCAGGGTAATGATCTTCTTAGATGCCAAACTCTTGCATAATTCGTTAAACAGTTCATTCGGGCAAGCTAAAAGTTTAGGCTTGCATCACATAAAAATAATCATCACATTACTGCAAACTTGATAACACTGCTCTCAAGACTGGCGATGCTCAAACTAGACTCAGTCGCTGTAATTTGTTGACAAAGAAAGAAAAAACAGAATGACTGAATTTCAATTGCGAGAATCAATTTATATCAGCATGGTGAAATTACGTACTCGGTGAAACTTCGAATGAATGCTCTAAACAAGAGTAGAGTCATGTGGGGAACAACAAAGAGGAACGAATAACGGAAGAAATAAAACAAATCGATAACAAAAATGAAGGAACCTCTAGGAGGCAAATACGCACAATTCTGAGTCAACCAAGGAACAACTAAAGTAAAAGTAAACAAAAGTATCGAGAGTATGTCAACAACTCGGTCAGTGAGTGAGTTTCGATGAGCGCTGATCCTTTCAGGTAATGGAAACAGCTTCGACAGGCATTTTCCAACATTTCCAGTCCGGCGCTAGCATCTGAGCCTCCTGGAGAAGGCGACTGAAGGAGGACGCAACCTGAAGCACATTAAGTCGAGGGCTCGTAAAATGTCGTTCTTGGAATTCATCGGCAGACAATGATGCATAATAATAATTGTCTTAGAAATATTCGCAAAATCGTGTTAAAGCGATGGCAGCTGTGACTTCTCAATCTCAAAAGCAGCAAACTACACATCAAGACTTACACACTTCTTTAAACTTCAGACTCTGCGCGTAAGCACAGTGCTTCATCTAAGAAAGTCCATTTTAACCACTTGTATACGGCTCATCGCTTACGACCACAGATGAGCACGGGGATGAAAATGGACTTGATCACAGAGAGATTCGTCCTAAGACTCATCTCTGCCTTAGTCTAAAGGGCTTAAAAAATTCAAACAGAACGCGGCTAGCTATCCCGAATAGCCGATCGATATCTTCCTCGCAGTTTCTATCATAAGCTAACATCACCCTGAGGTACGTGAATTTCTCCACCAGTTTCGTAGTTCTACTGTCTGTCTGCAGAATGTTGTAAGAAGGTGATCAATAAGCACTAGATCTTTCGTTTCAGATATGTTTATATGCATGCCAGTCACCCTGCATTCTATGAACTATTCCAGAGCGAACCGGGGATCAGCTTCGCAAAATGCTAACAAATCAAGGTAGTCCGCAAACAGCAAACTTCGTGCTTCCACATTACCGATGCTGATACACTCGTCACACTGGTGCGCTGGGCTGTCTGACCCATGTACAACATAAACAAGAGAGGATAGAGAACGCAGCCTTTGCTAGCTGAGACCAGTGCCAACGCTGAAAGATCGCGACTTAATGTCATTTACTCTGACGCAGCACCTGATATGAAAATATAGTTTCTGAATCGCTTGATGCAACTGGCCATCGATTCCATATGTTCGCAGGCAACTTACACACTGATGCGTGGGATCCGGTTATAGGCATTATCTAAGTCCGCAAAGCTTATGGAAACCAGATGCGCAAACTGCCACGATTTCTCAACAATCTGCAGTAAGGCGAAGAATTGGTCAGAGGTGATTCGACTTAGCCTGAAGCCACACCGCAATTCTTGGTTCTTTGAGTACGTGATCCTTTGCGTAGACTCTTCTAAAGACACTCAATATGAAAATGCCCAGATAGTTGAAGCAACCCCTGTGGTCTTCCATCTGAAACGAGGAAACTACATCCTCGTTTTTCAGTCCACTGATATTTTAAACGTAGCCACCGCAGTTTAACAGACGCGTCTTAGCCACTACATGCTTTTTCTGATCTAAAGCTTTAACCATTTCAGAACGGGTTTCATCGATTCTAGCAGCCTTCTCACTTTTCAAGGTCAAGTTTTTCAAGCTTCTGTGACTTCGTCTACTCAAAATCCAATATCCGTTACCCCCCACTCTCCAACCGAATCTTCTTGCGATTGCTCAGGGTTAGGCAGCAGCTGAAGCTACTTTATCCACTACTGACGTATATTCTCTTCACTGGTCAGAAGGCTTCTGAAACTGTTCTTCAAAATCATCAGACTGCCTTTTCATTCTGAGCCTCGTGTGCCGGCTGGGAATTTGACTCCAGCAATTTATTGAACTTTTCCATGAACCAGGCATCAGTAAAGGTCACTACTTTAGCAGCCGGTTTGAGCGCTTCAGTCGTAAAATCGCAAATTGAATACCAGCGTCTAGAAACAACCAGATGAAATCTCTGGTTTCTTCCTTGAAGTTCGTATATGACCCTAGATGTAACTGTAACGCATTTTGAAGCGCAGCAATCAACAGCAGTCCTGGATAACCTCCTATTAAAGACAAAACTTCCACTCAGTTCCTCTTAAAGATGTAAAAATAAATGGAAAAATTTACACAAAGGTTCTCAGTATAACTAAGGAGTAGAAATATGTGCACCCTTTTGTCCAGAACAGCGTAACAAGATATCATTATCTTCATCTTCTATGGCCGCTTCTCCTTACCGATCGCGCAGACAGACACGTCATGCAGTGCTTCCAACGTTCCTGATCCTGTGACAGAGCCTGAGCTTCGGCAGAAGACAACTGGAGTCTGAAACAGATACTTGCACCAGGCTAATCTTAGTCGTCCCCTGGGCCTTCTGCCGGACGGATTGGAAAGAAACAGTTGCTTAGCCTTCCTTTCTCAAAGCATTTGCAACAGGTGAACATACAATCCGAGCTGTCACTTCTCAATCTGAAGAAGGAGATCCTGTGCACCAAGGCTCGCCAGCATGTCTGTATTCCGGAAAATGTTGCGACGCGTAAGGCCAGCGACTCGTCTCAGAAAGCCAATTTCATCAGCTTGTACACGGGTTCGAAGCTCTTCAGTCATGGTCACAACTCATCACCGCAGGAAAGGATGGGAATAAAGATCGACTTGAATACCGAAAGATTATCTTCAGACGAAGCTCTACCTTAGTCACAATGAATCGGGCAAGTTCACCACAATGCCACTGGATGCTCCAATCGGCAGGTCGATCTCTTCCTCAAATTTTCCATCACTAGTAAACCCGACTCCGAGGTACTTGAACTTGTCCACCTGCAACACTGCCTTTCTGTTGATCTGAAGAGAGTAAAGCGCAGGAGAACGTGAAAGCACAAGGCTTTTAGTTTTAGACAACTTCACACGAACGTCTGTCACGTCGAACTCGGCTGCAAACTTATCTAAGGAGCATCATTTTCACATCATGCCAATAAAACAAGGTCGTCTCCAAACAGTAACCTTACCGTCTGCACATTTTCTGCACCTATACACTCGTCGCCTTAGCTGCTCCTGACTATTCTACCCACATACAACAAAAACAGGACAATGGACAGTACGCAGACTTGACGGAAACCAGTGCCAACGTTAAAAGGCTTCGATTTAAAACCATTTACTCTTACGCAGCACCTGCCATCAGAATATAGTGACTGGATGGCCCTTAGCAGCTGGCAATCTATACTGTTTGCTCGCAGGCATAACAGACTGTTGCGCGGGAACCGGTCATAGGCTTCTTCTAGCTCAAAAAACACGTACATTGGATGGGAGTACTCCCACGAATTTTCAACAATACGGCACAGGGAGAATATATGGTCAGACGTGCTTCGACCGGGTCGGAATTCCACACTGCTCTTCTATCTTGCAATCAGTTATTCCGCGGTACCTCCTTTCTAGCACCTTTAAGAAGACTTTTCCTGGGGGGGGGCTCAATTACGTAATGCCCTTATACCTGGAGAACTTCCTGTGGTCCCCTTCTTCTTGAACAGGGATAAAACAACTCGTTTTCAAGTCCGCTGCTGTCTTCTCCGTAGTCATCGCAGTTTGACAGACATGTGGAAGCCAGCACATGCCTTGCTCGCCCTATGCCTTGGACATTTCAGGGCGGACTTCATCAATTCCAGAAGCTATTCTACTTTTCAAGCTTTTCACTGCTCATGTAATTTTATCTACAAAGATAGTAATATCTGTTCCCTACTGCTCTCCAGGTGAGTTTTCCTGCAGATGCTCGAGGTTAAGCAGTTCCTCAAAGTACTCACTCAATCGCTGAATAATGTCCTCGTATTGGTAAGAGAGTGTTCAGACCTGTCGTTTATGACTCTCATACTACCCTTCATTTCCCCTCGGAGTCAGCGAAAGCTCTGCCAGAATACCTTGTTTGCAGTGTGGAAATTCGACTGTAACACCTCACCGAACTTCTACATGGAAACAGCTTTGGCTTTTGCCACGGCTTTCGGGGCCGCCTTGCGTGCCTCGACAAAACACACGCGCCCAGAATGCCATAGGTTTGCTAGCCGTTTCTAGAGTGCTGCCTTCTTCTTTTCAACTGCAATTTGTATCTCTTGTGTCCACCAGAAAGATCTTTGGTGACCTCTAGGCGGCAGGCGACCCCAAAATCCGCAGCATTGGGCGGCGGCCTCGAATATGCCACTCGGTTTAAACATCACTGGTCATCACCGGGATTAGTTCAAACAGTCGTGCGATGTTGTTCACAAATTTCGCTCTCGGGTCCACCAAAGTTAATGTTTCCCATTTGAAACTCCGGTTGCTTCTGCCACCAGATCTTCGTATGGTACTCCATTTCTTACAGCGCAGCGTGCTAAAAAGGTGGTCATCGGTTGATTGCTTTGCGTCTCTCTTAACGCAAACATCCATTGCCGAGTGCCTAGAGTCAGACGATACGATTACCAAACCGATCATCGGCTTGTGTGCACAAGCTTCCCGGTACCAGGTATACTGTTGCACTCTTCGATGCATGAAGGTGTTTATAATGGACAGTCCGTTGTTTACATAAAAGCCAAACAACTTCATCCCGTCACTGTTGAGGTCGCTAGAGCCGTTTTTTTCAATCATGACGTTTCACTTTTCAGCACCTACTCAGATATGCACGTTAAAATCGCATATGAATAAGAGGGCCTCTGTATTCGGCACTTCAGACAGAGCACACTGGACTACCTCAACGTAGGAATCATATTCTCCCTCTGATTTTTGCGCATAGATCTGTAACGAGGTCAACGCTTTAGCCTGTTGAAGCCTCAGTCGGAGGATTACCACCCTTCCGCTGACAGGCTTCCAATCAATAATTCTATCTGCGAGGTTGGATTCGACCAGAACATCAACATCGGCCTGAGCGCGTGTCGTGATGTCGACACCTGAGTAGAATTTCTTCCACCTGCAGAGGTTCAGGATATCAAAGCCTTGGCATTTTGTTGAAAAAAGTCCAACTATGTCGAGTTGGTACTTTATGACCTCATCAACTAACTCTTGTTGTTTCCGTCTGAGTGAGGATATGGTCCAATTTCTGACTTTAAGCTAACACTGGTGGTGTCGTTCTCGTGGAGCCTTTTCTGACGTGTTATAAAAGCATCGCTCTGTCTGTCTGCTCCGTTCAGAACGGGTGGTGACTCCGCTGTCGACTGGTATCTTCGTCGTCGTTCCGCCGACCTTCCTCAGCCGTTGTTATGCTGCTACGCCCCCCCCCGGCTGGCAGAGGACGATGAGAAGGTTCTGCTCACCGACTTTTCGTGGTCTGCCTCAGTCCCCCAACAGTCTGCGCGGCCTTCGGTAACCCGGGCGAAAACCGAGCCAGTATAATTTTCGATTACATCAATACCATGAAGGTCAGGTGGCGAAATTTTACGGAGACTTCGCCACGGTCTCCAATCCACCTGCATTTTCAACTGGGCTTGGGACTGGCAGCGGCGCAGTTGCTTAACAAAGTATTCAAGACATATAATACTGGTGAAAATATCCTGAAATGGCTAGAAAAGTAACGAGTAGGAAAAGCCTGAAAATTAATGCTTGTTCTTCAGTAAGTACGAGTGAAAACTATAGTTTGGCCTGGTCGTGATAAACAATGACAGCCCTTCGGCGAATGTTATACTAAAAGGAAGGATGAGTTTTGGGATAAGAGTTTGATGACATGGAATTCGCTTAACTGAACGCCACCAAGAATAGGCAATAAATCAGAGATCAAGAAAAGTGAACTAATGCGGAGCGTTGCCTAATCTCTAGCAGCAGATGACATCGGACGCATTAGGTTGCTGACCTGTGATCATCGGAAAAAGAGCAACGTAGGAAATGGCTCAGTACAGCACCTGTTGATTTTCACAGAATAGATATTTTGAACGAATAAGAACAGTTAACATAACATCTTCAAACGTAATAACTGTATAGCAGTTTAATACTAGTTTATTGGAAACACTGAAGACTAAAATACGGTAAGATTATTAAGCAAAATCGTCGAGAAATAATGACAAACCTTCTGTAAAAAACACATGAGCGGCTTTATACATAGTCTTCGTGGGACTCTGGAAATCATTCATGAGACGGCTGATAGAGTCTCTGGTCGGTGCTATCATGTAAATAGCATCGAGAGATGGTATAGGCTCTCTTCTTTTATTGAGATCTTCAACGACTGAAACAAACAAATTATTCGTGAGACAACAACGGTGAAATCGTTGTACAAAGGAGTACCATTTATCAACATTTGTTATAAAACTGTTAGCCTAATTATGCATGAGTCACAAACCTTCCATAGAGCACGTTGCTTCGAAACCTCTTTAAACCAGGTAAAAGACGTTTTAGACAAATGATAAATGAAAATAAACTCAAAGGTGATTTTAACTAAAGCCATACTCTTCAAATGGTTTACGCAGCAAGACGTTTCGGACCGAACGGGATTCAACTTCACATGACATAACACAAGTACGGTAGATAATAGATAGTACAGTTGGATTACGTCCTATGAAGATGAATCCAATTTGATAGAAACGCAGAGACAATAAATTTATAGTGCGTGTAAACTCTCTGCAGATTATGACGATCAAGAAATTCCCACCCGTATAAAGAATTTAAGTAATACCTTTAAAAGTGTAAAACAGACTTACTATTAAATTATAGAAAATGCTGATTTCCAGTAACAACACTGGTTATATCCAACACATACCTGGAAGTATAACCTATGTAAGAGCAGTAGCTTGTGTGCGTGGGCGCCCAAGGACAGATCAGTTTCGATTTGTACATACGGTACGCTCATCTACCATGTTATGCAGCAATTCATGTGAGCGAGCGCCATCTCACTGAAATCAGGTTGTTGAATTACTGT